GTAGAATGGATGGAAAGTAAAGTCAAGTTGTAGGTTAAAACTTTCGCGGTGGTAAAAATGTAGGGATGTGAGATCAAAGATGATCTCTGAGCAAGACGCCTAGAGTCGAAGCTAGACGGCTTGTTCCTTCGTGGGATCCGAGCTAACAGAGTGGTTTTCGTCAAGAGCTGCAAGTTTCTCAACTTGCTCAGAAGTGAGCTTGACGTTCACACCATCAAGGTTGGGTTTCTGTCGTCTAGCGTCCACAGATTTGGGCAGCGTGATGAAATCATTGGCCAAGCTGAAAGCCACCAACACTTGAGCTGGACTGGCACCAACGTCGTTCGCGATCTCACGCAGCGTCGGGTTGTCCATCTTGCGAGCTCTGGCCAACGGCGAGTACGCTTGGAGCAGAATATCATGCTCTTTGCAGTACTTCACCAGCGACGGACGCATCATCCACGGATGGAGTTCCACTTGGTTCAAAGAAGGTTTGACCTTCACAGTCTTCAAGAACTTCTCCAGGTGCGCCTCGCTGAAGTTGGAGACGCCAATGTCCTTCAAAATTCCTTGTTCTTGCAGCTCTTCAAGGGCACGCCACGTCTCATCACGCAGCGAGGAATCCCCAGGTGCATGCAGCAGGAAGAGGTCGATGTAGCCCAGACCGAGCTTCTCGTTACTCTCCTTCGTGGCAGCCAGAGCTCGTTTATGGCCCCAGTTGTCAATGTAAAGCTTAGACGTCACGAACACCTCTTCACGAGGAATACCCGAGTCTCGGATGGCACGACCGACGTCGGCTTCGTTCTCGTAGTACTGGGCAGTATCAATGTGTCGATAGCCTAGTTTCAATGCCGACAGCACGGCGATGTACGTCTCGCCACCGGGTTTGGCTAAGTACACTCCCAATCCGACCATCGGAATCTTGGCTCCACTCGACAGCGTCTTGGTTGGGACGTTCACGGTCATAGTTGCGACTGACTGGTTATGTGATGAAGCTTTGGTCTTGAATAGTAGCTCGAATGTTGAGGAATGACCGCTTTATCACTTCGAGCTTGGCATATTAGAGGCAGGGACATGATAATTACTGGCTGACCTTACTGGAGACAGAACAGCCTCGCCTTAAAAGGAAAAAGGACCAATTGCTTGGCTGTCTGCTAAAGGAAGATGGCGTCACACCATGTATAACATTTCCAATTTATATTAATCGCTTGAGTTTAGTTTGTCCTTCCGCTTCCTCTACGCCCATAACTGAATGCTGACATATCGGAATCTACCATTTTCAGTTTTCTGGGTTAGGATGTCACGGTAAATCCAGATCATGAAGGAACGAGTAGCCTTATTTGATCAGACTCTAGGCCGTGATAATATACAGTGTCTCAAGCTTCGCAGCCTGGCATTCGCAGCATCCAACTGTTCGTCTAACACCCAGGAATCCTGAGTCAGGATTAACGGATTCGGCAGTGATGAAATTGGCTATAAGCCACTAGTCCTTGAGCAATGCCCAATCAGCCGCGAACTTACCAGCGTTGGTCAGTGACGGGTATGGTTCGAACGGATTTCCGTGCTCCTTGTCGATGTTGTTGCGTCTGGTACACCACAAACTTCATGTTGTAGTACATGCAGGGGAGGAAGCAAGCCGCTGCAAGTCGAAACAGTCGCTGGGCGGCAAAAATGAATTAGGAACAACACTCGAATCGTAAACTACAACGTTGTCTTTGCCGCAACAAATTCAGATTCAAGTACAATCCATGATTCCCTTTCATGAATGTATTTTGATGGTGATGCTCAGAATGTCATCGTTTGCTTATCATCTGCCACCAGGCTGAATAGATATACCCCGAGTAGTTCGCTACAATACCCATCGCACCTCGTGAAGTGTGAGTGTTCGCAGTTTCCATCGAAACTACAACCTGTGCCAATGCTGTTTCCATCCTACGCAATTCCAGTTGGCGCTCCGATGTTTGTTCATACTCATCCTCCTCTTCGTCGCTATCGCTTTCAGTATCGGGTTCTTTGACCTCCATAACGCACACGCATCTCCCATCGTGGTGTATCATATAGTCGGCATGCCCCCGAAATACCGATGATGCCCAAATTACTCTCCAAGTTAAATCTCTTCTGGACATTCATGTCCAACCTCGTGACGCTCACCACATATTCTAGAATGATGGAGGTTAACAACTCTACTTGCTGAGACTGCTCGTCCTCCAAATCAGGCATGACACGAGTTTGTTCCGAAAGCTGGTCTTGCAGCTATACCATTTTTGAAGGCTAAACTAT